TATTTTTGGGATCTCACTGAGTGTAAATCGGATTGTGTAGTCAGCTCTGTAACAAGGACAATAGGATGAATCTTCATCCAGGTTGGGAAAACCTGACCTGCACACCTGATCCATGAGGGACTTCACATACCATTTTAACCTTTACACACAAGGAGCAGCCTAAAAACACATCTCAGAAACTGCAGTGGAGTGTGGGTGTGCGCGAGTATGTGTGTGTATGAAGGTGGGGACCAGTTAGAAGGTCCACCTCTGTTCTCCAGCACATGGGCCATGCACCCCAATATTGTTTAAAGTCAGTTCTGGCAGCACCTATGCAGAGAGAAGCAGTGTTAAAGTTTCGAGCATGATGACTCTTCTTTGGAAGTCTGAGTTGTATTGGATTTGAAATAGTAACTCTGTTTCTGTCTCCACATGTGCTGCTAGACCTGCGGAAGTTCTCCAGCAGAGATAGTAGGAACTGCAGATGCTGAAGAATCCGAGACAACAAGGTGCAGGGCTGGATGAACACACCAGGCCAAGCAGCATCATAGGAGCAGAAAGGCTAACGTTTCGGGCCTAGACCCTTCATCAGCAGGCTACTTGGCCTGCTGTGTTCATCCAGCCCTGCACCTTGTTGTCTCGAAGTTCTCCAGCACTTTGTTTTTGTTCCAGATTTCCAGCTTCCACTGTATCTTAATTGTTTCAAGATCCTTTAACTCTCACTCCTCACCTCCCTCAACCCGGCAGTCTACACCCCCTGCTTACTCTGTGCCCCTTACGTATCCTCCATAGCCAACAGAAAAAGAAGTTTGTCATCCTGTAAGTGCCAATCAGGTTTATAAACAAACAGGAAACTTCATCCAAGGTCCATTCTGATTCTTAGTAATCAGAGATGAAATAACTGAGGGATCATCCAGTGAAGCTTTGTGGGTGGAGCTAAGAAATAAGAAGGGGATGGTGATGTTATTGGGGTTGTACTATAGGCCCCCAAATAGTCAACGGGACTTAGAAGAGCAAATATGGAGGGAGATAGGGGGAGACTTGCAGGAGAAATAGTGTTGTCATAGTGGGGGATTTTAATTTTCCTAACATAGACTGGGACTGCCATAGTGTTAAGGGCTTAGATGGGGTGGAATTTGTTAAATGTGTTCCGGAAAATTTTCTCAAGCAGTACATAGAGGGTCCTACACGGGAAGGGGCAAAACATGACCTACCCTTGGGAAATAGGGCAGGACAGGTGACTGAGGTGACAGTGGGAGAGCATTTTGGGACCAGTGTCTAGAGTTCTATTAATTTTAAAGAAGTTATGGAGAAGGACAAATCTGGTCCACGGGTTCAAGTTCTCACTTGGGGCAATGGGAATTTTGATGGAATTAGACAGGAGCTTGTAGGGGTTGATTGGAGTAGTTTGTTTGCAGGCAAAGGGACCTCTGGCAAGTGGATGGCTTTTAAAAGTGTGATAGTTAGAGTTCAAGGTCTATATGTTCCTGTGAGAGTGAAGAGCAAGGTTGGCAGGAGAAGGGAACCCTGGATGACAAGAGATATTGAGGTTTTGACCAGAAAAAAAGGAGGAGGCATGGCTCAGATACAGGCAGCTGGGATCAAGGGAGTTCCTGGAGGTATATAGGGGGTTACAGGATATATGGAGAGATACAGGAGTTTACTGAAGAAGGAAATCAGGAGGGTGAAAAGAGGGCGAAAATGAGATAGCTTTAGCTGAGAAGATTAAGGTGAATCCAAAGAGATTCTTTAAGTATATTAAAGGAAAAAGAATAACTAAAGAAAGAATAGAACCCCTCAAGGACCAAAGTGGACATGTATGTGTGGAACTGCAGGAGATAGGTGAGGTCCTCAATGAATATTTCTCCTCTGTGTTTACAGTGGAGAAAGACATGGAGACCTGGGAACTTGGGGTAGTTAATGGCAATATCTTAGAGACAGTCCATATCACAGTAGAGGTGGTGTTGGAAGTATTAGAATGTACAAAAATGGATAAATTTCCTGGTCCAGGCCAGATATATCCAAGAACCCTGCAAGAGGCTAGAGAAGAAATTGCAGGGACCCTGGGCTGATATATTTGCATCATCGTTAGCCACGGGTGAGGTCCCAGAAGACTGGAGGTTAGTGAATGTTGTGCCCTTATGCGAGAAGGGCTGCAAAAAAACCCTAGGAATTATAGACCAGTAAGCTTAAATCTGTGGTAGGTAAGTTACTGGAGAAGATATTCTGAGGGACAAGATTTACATTCATTTGGAAAGACAGGGTTTGATTAGGAGTAGTCAGCATGGCTTTGTGTGTGGGAGATGATGCCTCACAAATTTGTTAGAGTTCTTTGATGAAGTGACCAGGAAGGTTGACGAGGGTAGGGTAGTAGGCATTGTCTACATGGATTTCAGTAAGGCCTTTGATAAGGTTCCACATGGTAGGCTGCTCTGGAAGGTTACATCACATGAAATCCAGGGAGAGCTGGCAAGTTGGTTACACAATTGGCTTGATGGTAGGAAGCAGAGAGTAATAGTGGAAGGATGCTTGTCGGGCTGGAGGCCTGTGACTAGTGGTGTGCCTCAGGGGGCAGTGCTGGGCCCATTGCTGTTTGTTATCTACATCAATGATTTGGATGTTTGTGAATGACACTAAATTAGGCAGTACTGTGGACAGTGAGGAAGTTTATTAGAAATTGCAGCAGGATCTTGATCAGCTGAGGAAGTGGGCCAAGAAATGGCAAATGGAATTTAATATAGATAAGTGTGAGGTGTTGTATTTTGGAAAGTCAAATCAAGGTGGGAGTTTCATGGTGAGTGGTAGGGACTTGAGGAGTGTAGTGGAAGAGAGGGACCTTGGAGTTCAGGTGCACAGTTCACTGAAAGTGGAGTCACAGGTAGACAGGGCAATGAAGAAGGCGTTCGGCACACTGGCCTTCATCAGTCAGGGCATTAAGTACAGAAGTTGGGAAGTTATGTTGCAGTTGTATAGAATGTTGGTGAGGCTGCACTTGGAGTATTGTGTTCAGTTTCGGTCACCTTGCTGTAGGAAGGATGTTATTAAACTAGAAAGAGTGCAAAATTTACAAGGATGTTGCCAGGACACAAGGGAATGAGTTATAGGGAGAGGTTGGACAAGCTAGGACTTTTTTCTTTTCGAGCATAGGTGATCAAGGGGGGATCTTATAGAAGTGTGTAAGATCATGAGAGGCATGGATAGGGTGAATGCACTCAGTCTTTGTCACAGGATTGGGGACTCGAGGATTAGAGGGCATCAGTTTAAGGTAAGAGGGGAAAGAATACATGGGAACCTGAGAAGCAACTTCTTTTACACAGAGGGTGGTACGCATATGGAATGAGCTGCCAGCGAAAGTGGTTGAGGCAGGTACATTAACAACATTTAAAAGGCATTTGGATGAACACATGGCTAGGAAAGGTTTAGAAGGATATGGGCCAAGTGCAGAAAATAGGGTTAGCGTGGATGGAGATTTTGGTCAGCATGGACCCATTTGGGCTGAAGGGCCTGTCTCGTGCTGTAGGACTCCATGACTCTATGACTGTATGTGCTCCTAAAAATTTGAATAGTTCCAAAACCACCTGCTAAGCTGAAGCTTTTGAAACTAAGGCAAGCATTCATATTACAGAACTATCATAACAAAAGCTTCAGTGATTTTAAAAAAAAGGCATCTGTAAAGGAACGAGAGAGGTGCAAAGCCTTTTTCTACCTTCAGAAGCATTTTATACTTAGCTTTCAGATTGTTCCAGGTTCCTAAGTGGGCTTTCCATTTTCTGCACAAATTCTCAAACCTTACATGCTTTTAATAGACTTTCAAAACCAGATAAAAACAGTGTGAGGGAAGAAATGAATTTTTATGCGCTGTTTAAAATTGTGAGGTTGACCTCACCTGGGGGGTGGGGTTGGCGTTTTGCATGTATTTTCAAGCCACAGAAAAAGGAGGAAAATGGCATGCTGAGGGAATATGAAGGAAATTTGATTTCCTCCCAAAAGACCGCACAGTGCGGCCATTCACACAGCAATCTGTGCATCCACACTGAGGTATATATTCAGGCCTGTCTGTCAAAAATAATCCACTGGCTGTGAAGTACTTTGGAATACCCTGAGGAAGCGAAAGGTATTATCATCCAGAATTTCTGCTGTAGTAATCCTGCTTGGCTATTGTCATATTGATGGAAGGTCAACAGAAACCATCAAAATGTCAAACCACTGTTTCTGTTTCTGGAGGCTTCCTCTCAAAGTTAATGCTGAGAGATTGGGCACCCCCACAGGTATCTATTTAAGCAGGCTTATTCCATCTTTACAAGAGGCTGAGGCCATAGCCTCATATTGGTTCCGCTGTACCACAAAGTTCTCTGGATAGTTCCCCTGAGGGAATTTTAAGTGTGTTGGACACACCTGTAGGACGCCAATGTCATGAACATATTTGTGAAAACAAGACATTTAATAAGTTCCTTTAGTATTGATTAGAACATTGTTGTGGTGAATGTTGTAATTAATTAACGTTTCATTTGACAGGATGTTTCTTACCCCTTCCATTTTTATTTCTGAGCTTTTCTTTGTGGGTCATAATAGTGAAAAATTATGAAATGTTTCTAATGCAACACTGGAAGGCTGTCGGACTTTGAGGAATATTCCTCCCATTTCTGATATAAAAGGGGGCTTGACCTCAGCACCTATACCTTTTGCCATTTCCTAATGGGACTGCTTTCACTCGTGGCTATATCCTGCAGTTCAAAGTAAAAAGCCAAAGCCAAGCCTGGAACTGTGATTTGTTCACGTACACTTCAATCTCAGTGCTGATTGGGAGACCAGCCGTGTTATAGTTGGTATAGTTTCTGTGTGTGTACAGCCTGTGAATTTTACATGCTGCTCATGCAACACTTCCTTCATGTTTTGTTATTGTCACCCCACTTATCAATTAGCATGTGTTCCAGCTTGCCACCAAAGTGCTGTACAGATAACATTTTCTCAGGTTTTAACGTCTTAATTTATTTTTGCACTTATGTTTATTTTTCAACCAGGTAAATGGTACTGACCTAAGCAGTGTACCTCACAGCTATGCTCTGGCAATATTGAAACAGCCCTGCCATATCCTGCTGCTGAGTGTGCTCCGGGAACAGCTCTTTCAATGCAGAAGCATCGTTGATCATAACTGCTCCCGAGATGATAGCTTCCACATTATTCTCCACAAGAGTGCAAATCAGCCCCTGGGAATAAAGCTGGTCCGCAGGCCTGATGAAGCTGGGGTTTTTATCTATAGATTACTTGACGGAGGCCGAGCAGCCCAAGATGGCCAGCTCCAAGTAAATGACAGAGTGCTGGCTGTAAATGGACATGATCTCCGGCGTGTGTCTCCTGAAATTGCAGCACATTATATACAGGTCAGTTTAATTAACGCACAATTATTTATCATTGTTGTGACTGATCAACGTTTACTGCAAAGCTCGGAATATCATCCGGGATGGTAGAAGGTGAATCAGCTGAATCTTGGTCATTATTGCACGGTAATAGACAGTAACTCATGTGAAAGATTGGTTTTTATGTTGTTAATTCAACAGTTATTTTTATGTCCTAAGGTTAGTCTGGTAATAAGTCACTCTGTAGTAAGTTAGATGATCTGGATGCACTTAGGAATGACATTGTCTTGTGTGAATCTAAAGGCCATGGGTTTCAATTTCAAAGATGATACTGAGGCAGTGCTGCACTGTCAGAGGTGCCTTCTTTAGATGAATCATATCATGTTGATGACTTCATAGGTGAATGGAGAAGGTCCCATGGTTGTTTTTGAAGAAGACCGAGAGAGTTCCCCTGAAAGTCTTGGCTTGCTGCAAGTAAACCCATTTAAAACAAATAGATTATTTGTTCATTTATCTGATTGCTTTTGAGATTGTTGGACCTTGAGATTTGGATATTGCCTGATTTGCCCGTTTGGTCTTTTGGGATGTCCTCATGTAATGAAGCAGACTATATAAAGCTAACTTCTTCCTTTCTAACGATTGATAAGCCAGCCAACAGTTGCCTAATTTAATAAAATGAGGGGCTAATAAAACCCTGAAATCTTAGAAACATTCAACAGGTTAGGCAGCAGGTGGAAAGGGGAAGGTAGCATTAAAGCTGCTGACTTTTTATTGAAAGTGTCAGATATTACAGGTGAATAGTTTAAAATGAGGACCAAAACCAGGGCAAAGGGAGTGATTAGAAGTAATTCTCTTTTGCTAATTAGATTGCTAGGAACGGAACCAGATGAAGGCAGTACCTTACAGTTGGATGTCAGTGGAGAGGTGTTTGATAAGATCGACCATGCCAATGGCTGCAAAATGGTCGAGATGGATGAGGAGATGACATTTAGACTTTGTTAAGAGGGATTTCTATACTGTAGTGGTGGGAAACCTGATTGGAGAGAATTAATGAAGTGTTCTAGGAAAATTGGACAGGAGATTGGCCTGGAACGCACTGCCAGAAGAGGTGGTGGAAGCGGGCATGGTGGTAACATTTAAGAGGCATCTGGATGGTTACATGAATAGGGAGGGAATAGGGGGATACAGACTGAATAAGGGCAGAAGGTTTGTTTTTTTTAAGTTTAGTCAGGGCATAGTGATCGACGCAGACTTGGGGAGGTGGGCCGAAGGGCCTGTTCCTGTGCTGTACTTCTCTTTTGTTCTTTGAGACAGTTTGCAAGGATGATGCAGTCAGAAGTTGCATTTTTAAGGAGTGGGATGATGATGGCAGACGACAGGAGAGAAAATTTAGAATAAAAACCGATGTAATCATTCAAATATTAACATTAATAATGTTGAATGGACAGCTGTCAAAACTATTTAGCTATCTCCTGAACATCGGTCTCCTTGTATGCTTAACCACAAACACTGCATGTATTGTGTGAATGCCTTTCCTGTTGAGATTGAGCAGTTATCCTTCATATTGATTAGGCAGCAGAGATTTCAGTGAGATAATAAGAAAGGGCAGATGGATCTATAGCTGTTAGACCACAATTTAATGGTTTTGATAAGCATACAGCTATCAATATCAGAGATCTGAACAAGAATGCCACCTTGAAATTAGAACAAAACATTTGGTCCTGAAACTAGTTGCAAGCACATGGTCCTAGATTTAGTTTTTAGATTTTATTGTCACGTGTACTCAAGTACAGAAGTACAAGAGTACAGTGAAAAGTTTGTAATGTCGCCACACAAAGGGCCATCTCAGGTACGTAGGTTGAAAAAGCTTAGGTACAAAGTAATGCGAGAAACAAGAGTTAAAAAATTAAATATTACTTCATAGAATAGTAGGAAAAATGCTAATAGTTAACATTAAAGTCTTTTGTAGTTTAAACTAGGAAAATAATGGAATAAATTAAAAGTTCAACAGTCTTTGATAAGCCCTCCACTTATCTTGCTCTCTGGAGACCTCATTACTGCTGCTGGAACTGCTGCTTCTCTGATCTCTGCCAGTGCCTCAGGAACATGCCGGGGCATGATCCACTTGCACACCAAGCTGAAACACCGCCATGAGCTGCCGAGAGACCAGGCTGGGACTCGTCATGAGCAGTCGAGAGACTAGGCTGAGACCTTCCGTGGGGAAGGTGAACACCAAGACGGGGAGAATACCAAAAAGATGGGAAAAAAGATCAGGAAATGAGAAATAAACGGAAGGAGCAGTGGAGCACTAGTTGGTGTGGCCTACTAAGCATGGTCAAAACAGCAGAAAATCATTGGCTTGTCACATAAAACCATACAAATCTGCAGGAATGACAGTCATTAGTAGAGATAGATAATATTGAAATAGTTACTTGCCGTTGTTGAATATAGATGCTCAGGGTACATTGCACATCTTGTTTGGATGAGCTTTTGGAGTTTTTATCGACTCATAGGTTGAATGGCCTTCTTTGTGTTCTAAATGCCTATTGTGCTCGCACTGGTCAACAAAGATCTAACTACACTAATCCTGTGTTCCAGCTTTTGGCCCCTTGTGCTGGAGCCTGTGGCAACACGGGTAAATATCAAAATACTGCTTAAATATTATGAGTTTCTGTCTCAACAATTCTTTCAGGCAGTAAGTTCCAGACTCCCACACCCGTCTGAATGAAAATAATTTCCTCAACTCTCCTCTTAGCTTACTACTTTATATCTTAAATCCGTGTTCGCTGGTTGTTGACCTCTGCACTAATAAAAACAGAAGTGCCTTCCTATTCATGCCCTTCATAATCTCATACACCTCCATCAGGTCCCAGCTCAACCTTCACTGCTCCAAGGAAAACAACACCAGCCTTTCCTTGTAATCAAACCCTCCAGCCCAGTAAGCATCCTGGCAAATTTTCTCTATACCCTTCTTAGTGCAACCGCAGCCTGTAATGTGGTGACCGGGACTGTACACAGTTACTCGAGTTTTAACCCTACCAGCGTTTTATATAGTTCCAGCATAACTAACTTGCTGTTGTATTCTGTGCTTCAGCTAATAAAGGCATGTTTTCCATATGACATTCTTAACTACATTATCTACTTGCCCTGCTACCTTCAGGGATCAATGAATATGCAAACCAAGGTCCCTCTGATCTTCAGTACTTTCCAAGGTCCTACGATTCAGAGTGTAATCCTTTGCCTTGTTAGCCTCCCCAAGTACATTACCTCACACGTCTCTGCGTTGAATTCCATTTATCACCGCACTACCTCCCTAACCAGTCTGTTGATATCCTTTTGAGACAGTGAGAACTGCAGATGCTGGAGTCAGAGATAACACAGTGTGGAGCTGGAGGAACACAGCAAGCCAGGCAGCCTCTGAGGAGCTTCGGGGAAATGGGGAGGGGGAAGGGAGCTCAGAAATACAGAGAGGAGGGATAGGGCTGGAGAAGATAGGTAACCTTCCATATTAGACAGGGGTTCACCTGCACATCTGTCAACTTGGTCTACTGTATCCACTGCTCCTGATGTGGCCTCCTCTACATCGGTGAGACCAAGCGTAGACTCAGAGACCACTTTGTAGAGCATCTGCGCTCAAACGACAACACCTTCCAGTAGCGAACCATTTTAACTCCCCCTCCTACTCCCTGGATGAAATGTCCATCCTGGGCCTCCTCCAGTGTCACAATGAGACCACCCACAAACTGGAGGAGCAGTACCTCATATTCCGCCTCAGGTGCCTACAGCCCAATGGCCTTAACATGGAATTCACCAGTTTTAAAGTCTCCCCACCCCCGGCCTCATCCCATGACCAACCCTCCCTCTCATCCCCGCCTTCTTGACCCGACACAACCTGGCCATCTTCTCTCCCACCTATCCACTCCTCCTACCTCACTGACCAGTCCCCACCACTGCCTACCTGCACTCACCTATCACCATCCCACCTACCTTCCCCAGCCCCACCCCTCCATTCTATTTATTTCCCAGCTCCCTTCCCCTGTCCCATTTCTGAAGAAGGGTCCCGACCCGAAACGTCAACTTTTCTGCTCCTCTGCTGCCTGGCCTGCTGTGTTCCTCCAGCTCCACACTGTGCTGTCTGTTGATATCCTCCTCGCTGTTTAACACAAACTGTGTCATCTGCAAATGATCATACCCCCTTCACCTAAGTCCAAACTATTAATGTACATCATAAACAGCAATGGCCCCAGCACCGAGCCCTGTGAAATGCCACAAGAAACAGCCTTCCAGTCACAAACAGCCATCAGCCATCACCCTCTGTTTTGCCTGAGCCGTTTTTTGGATTCAGCATGCCACTTTGTTTTGTGATCCATGGGCTCTTATTTTCTTCACTTGTCTGTCATGCAGAAAACTTAGATGGTGAATTATAAAGTGGCTCCTTAATTAGGCAAATTGCATAATAATCAAACTTAATCTTCAGGACTTTTGTTTGTAACAGCTATCTGAACCTTCATATTAAACTATTCCAAACCAGTCAACTATTATCCAAAAGAAAAACCTCTGAAAGTTTTGATACTAAACAGACTCAAAGCAGATGCAGTCATTTTAATTATTGAGATTGGCTTTGCAATATAAACACATACTGCCCACGTCCACACATTAATCTACACAATTCCATATTTCTTGTTGTTTGCAATTTTGTTTAGTTGACATATTAAGTTAGACTGCAATGTTAAAAAAAACTCAAATTGTCAAAGTTGTTAACTTTTACCCACCTCTACTCAAATAAGTAGACGGCATAAGAAATCACTGACCTGTCATGGATCTGCTTTACAACTCCTGAGTCTAGCCATCAATTCAATTTTATTATACTCTTGTTACATTACTCAGCAGTAGTTCATTTGTCTGAGCCATAAGGATCTATTTAAAAGGTAAGAATGGATTACTTCAGAAAGGTGCTTTAGAAATTGGGGATTTGTTGGTAATTGATATACTGAAGCAGACAAAATCCTTTTGAAAGTTAACAACTGAAATTTTAAAGCATAATTTATAATGTGCAGTATTTTAAAACATCAAGTTTAACGATTTCTTTTTCAGAAGCATCTCATCTTCCAAATTGTTCAAAAGACATATAAAAGATAGTTTCACTGATTTCTGATTAAAACTTGTAGATGTTTCATATATTCAGACTCTGTATACATATATTTTTGTTTCTTGTGAGGTCCTAGCTATCTTGTGCAACCTCTGAATAATTTTTAGTATTGGTTTTCTAATGATTATTTTTAAATCAATACATCAATTTCAGGACAGTTCAATTATTTTGGCTTTTATCAATTAGCAATCAAATAATTTGGGCTGACTTCCAAATGTGGAAACAGGAGTAAACTGCCATGTTGCATCGAGTTTTAGAAGTGAAATATCACAATAAATTAGCTTTTGGCAGTATGAAAGGGCTAATATATTTTAATTTTTACACATGTAAATAGAACTCAGGCAATCCCATTTTACACTGATGTTTGGTGGGTTCTGTTTCTCTACTTGAAGTTGCTACGTGGAAAGTTTGGTGTGGAATTTGTTCGCTAATTCCCATTCCATTTGACTTGCGTTTATACATTATAATTTAGGTGAGTGACGATCGAGTACATTTTGTTGTGTCGCGAAAGACCAGGGAACAGACCCCTGATATCTTGCAAGAGAGTGCTTGGAACGGCAGCATTCAAATCAGCCCTGCAGTACGAAACATACACAACAAGGTAAGGGCAAGGATATCCTATAGCACATCCTGATAATGTTGGAATCATTGAATTGACTTGTTATTATAATGTATAACGACAACTGAAATGTATCTTGCATCATCAAATCAAGTAGATTATATATTGAGAAGAAATGCTTTTAATTTCTTAGAGACTGGAACTAATACTGTCTGGGAGAAAGGAACATTTCTTTAGTGTTGGGCGATAAAGCCATGTTTGGCAGGATGCGGATAACACTCTTGGGGCAGGATCGCACATCTGTAACAGAGCCTAGTCTTCCATTTAAATCAGTTGATAGAGAACCCGAGAGGCTCTGTTCCAGAAAGATCAAATAGTTTTTTCCTTACGAGCTGCCCAGGTGGTACACTGTCCTCGGCTGATAGTGCCAAGTGTTATTCCAGATAGATAACTGTGCACTCGTAATGTCAATAGACCAATCATTCAGAGATCCAAGCCAAAGTTTAGGGGAGACGTATTCAAATCCCAGCACAATAGCTGCTGGAATTTAATTAATATAACCAACAATTGAAAGTTTCAGTAATGCTGACCATGGTGATTATCCTCGATTGTCATAAAAACCCATCTGGTTTACTAATGTTTTATAGAAATCTGCCATCATTACCCAGTTTGGTGCACATGCAACTCTAGACCCTCAGCAATGTGTTGACTCTTACCATGTACCCCGAAATGCCCTATCAAAACACTCTATTAAAAGGCAGTTTGAAATGGGCAACAAATGCTGGCCTTACCTGCAATATCCACATTCCATGAAAGAAAAATGCTGTTAAGGACATTTTGCATCATCATTGGTCCATTATATTTCATCTGTGCAATGTAGGAGCTATTGGTGTAGAAGATAATACACTAGTGTGGATAGGAGATTGGTTGGCTAATATTAAACAGCATCAGAAGTCACACAACAACAGCTTATAGTCCAACAGGTTTATTTGAAATCTCAAGCTTTCAGAGCGCTGCTCCATCGTCTGGTGAAGTGAGAGCAAAGCACACAGACACAGAATATTTAGGCAGAGAGAGATCAAGGGCAGAGAGATCAAAAGTGGAGTGCTGAATAATAAGTCCCTGCAGGTGATCAAAAGTACCAAATGGTGTGAGGGAAGTGTCAACAGCTGAATAACAAGCAAAGGGATGACCTATAATTGGATTAAATGAGGCAGAGGGATAATTACAAAAAATTAAAAATAAGGTGATGCTGGAGCCAAACCAAATGGCTGGAATAACATGATAGGTATAAGAGTCACGTGCCAAGGGTCTAATCAAAGTAATAAGTAATCCAAAACTGTGCAAACTAATTAAGGCAGAGAGGTCATAACAATTTATCCAGGTGATGGTGTTAAAACAGGACAGTAAGGAAGATTTTACAGATACAGAACAGTGTGGTAGAGTCACATGTAGCACGACATGAAGCCAAGTTGAGGCCATCTTCTTGTGTGAGGAACTTAGCTCTCAGTTTTTGCTCGGCAACTCTGCGTTGTTGTGTATCTGAAAGGTCACCTTAGAGGACGCTTACCCGAAGATCGGAGGCTATTTTGTCCAAAATTCTCACAATTTGTAGACAGTCAGTCAATGAGGCATTTTATACATTCCTTCTTTGGAATAAAACCGGTCTGACTCCAAGTTAAAACACAGACAGCATTTAAACAAGGCCTGGCACCTAAAATGCATTGTCTGACCTGAGATGTCACCTCTGGTATACTGATAAAATGCTTAGTTATCTCAGGGCAGTGACTTGAAAGAAATTCTGGGATTTGCATATTAATCAATCAAAACCTGAATCTCCTTTCTAACTGAATAAAGGTTTAACAGCCATCTTGGGTTTGTTCAATACATTTGCATCAGTTCTATGACCCTTTTATCTTTTACTTATAAATTCTGTGTCTGATGTCACCTCTCTCACTAACACTTGAAAAAGGAGCGAGGCTCCAAAAGCTTGTGTTTCCAAATAAACCTGTTGGACTATAACCTGGTGTTGTGTGATTTTTGACTTTGTCCACCCCAGTCCAACACCAGCACCTCTGCACCAAGTATACAATGTATTGGTTAGACCACATCTCTCATACTGAGCACAGTTTCACTCTCCATGTTCAAAGAGGGATGTAATTGTATTGGAGGTGAACCACAGGAGGTTTACCAGATTGAGACCTGCATTGAGCATGTTGTCTAATGGGGAAAGATTGGACAGACTGGGCTTGTTTTCACTGCAGTTTAGCAAAATGAGGGGGTTTTGGTAAAGTTTGTAATGGCCTTGACAGGTTGAATATGTAAAGGATGTTTACTCTCATGAATGATTTCAGATCCAGAAGAGACAGTTTCCAGATTAGGACTGTCCTTTTAGGACAGAGAAGAAGTCTTTTTTGTTTTGGTGAGTTGTGAGACTTTGGAACTCTCTGCCTCAGAAGACAGTGGGGGAAGTGTCAATGAATGGTTTTGAGACAGAGGCAAATAAGTTCTTGTTGGACAGGGGACTCAGTGGTTATCTGTGTAGATGGGAATGTTGAATTTGGAAACACAAGCAGATCAGCCATGATCTTATTAGATAATGTAGCAGCTTGAAGGGCTGCATGGCCTAGATCTGCTCCTAGTTTGTATGTTTTTAAGACCGGCTGTTGACAAAAGAGGGAGTCTCCAGGATTTCTATAGGCACCCAAATAGTCAAAGGATAGTGAAAGAAGGAGAAGGGCTGATTAGGGACCAAAATGGAGATTTACAAATGGAGGTAGGGAGCAGAGTGGAGATTTTGAATGAATATTTTGTATCTGTTTTTACGAAGAAGCAAATCTTACCCGTGCCATGGTGTGAAAGAAGGAAAATCGGCCAAACTCTTGCTGCTTAGAGTTGACAAGGCACTTGAACAAGCTGGGACACATCTAAGAATACTAAAGGAAAGGAGAGTGGAAATTGCTGAGGCAATAGCAATAATCTGTCAATCTTCCTGAGACTCAGATGACGCCAGAGGACTGGAAGATTGCAATTATGTCCTCGTTCAAAATGGTTGTCAACATAATTCTAACAATTACAGACTAGTCAGACTAACTTCTCCTGAAGAGAAACTTATAGAAACAATAATTTGGGAAAGAATTACATCACAGGCTCAAATTATATCAAAAGTTAATTGGGGAGAGCCAGCAAGGGTTTCATGAGGGAAAATTATGTTTTTAGCTAACTTCCTGCAGTTTTTTTTTGACGAGGTAACAGAGGGCTGATGTGGTGTACGTGGACTTTGGAAAGATGTTTGATACAATGGCACACAAAGTCTTGTGACTTTGAATAAAAGAATAAAAGGGAAAAGCAACTTGGATAGTGCAGTGATTGGAGCAATGTCAGTCAGGTGGATCTCATAGAATATGAGTTCCCTGATTGGGGCCGTTAACCCTGTCCAATCAGGGAGCGCTGGCTGACAAATAGAAACAGAAGTGTGAGACATCCTGTTCACTCTAGGAGCTGGCTCTGTACTAGCTGGGTCAGTGCCTTGTCCTATGCATGTGCAAATAAAGTGTGGCTTAGTGACGGGGTATTGGTCTTTGTGCAGTTGTTTCAATGGTGACGAGAGAAAAACAGGCCCCTTAAGAGAGTATAGATAAAGTTAGATCAGTGATTTATGTCCAGTTGTCACTTCCAAAAGCACAATAGATTTCTGAATTCCTAATCTACTTTGCTACAAACTAATAGAATGGAGATCCAAACCCTTAATTTGAGCATCTTAAGACTAAATTATGTTTGGCTTCTCCCGCAAAATTAGTGATTATTGAGTAGCAATGGCAGATCCTGGGAGGAGTCTCTCTAATGATTGAGTTATATTTTCCTGGAATGCCTTCTTTGAGTTGTATGTGAATCTCTGCAAACCCTTGGGAGTAATATATGTATATTTCCCCAGATGGTTTTGTTTCGATTATGCAATTCTCCTGTGGGCTACATTGTTTCTGTAAGATGCATTGGAAAAATTATAATTCATTCACAACAGAATAACCCCTTATTAAGACAAAAAGCAAAGAAAAAGTCTGCTAAATTTCATTTTAATTAGGAAATCTGTAAAGGGATTTTTATTCTGTATTTGCTGTGCTTCCAACCAAATGCAACACAAAATAAAGATTCAGGATGTGGGGCAACCAGGGGATAATACTGTAATGAAGTGCTTGTTAGACTAAATATCTGCAAATATTTATCTCCTAGAGAACAAGGAGGTCAGTTAAAGCTGATGTCTATCGCAGAAAAGTACTTACAGAGGTTAGAGTTGCCGGAAAGTGACTTAGACAGTGATATAAAAATGTCAGTGAAGAATAGCTGAGCGTACTCGGATGTATTTCAGGATAAACAATGTCTGCTTTGGGCCTGGGTTTTATCAGTGATTATTCAGCTTTCAGTTGAATGTTTACAAAATGATTTTCACGTTTCCATTCTGTTAGATACTGATGATGATAAAATAGTTAATGCTCAGTCATATCTGCATTGAAGTGCTAAGACATGAAAACTTCTAAAACACTGACTTTTTAAAATGGCCACCAACTTGAACGATGTCATCTGGGGAAAATGTCCAACCTTTTGATTTTGAGTTCACATCAAGCCTAAGCATTTGCAGAGCAATATAGCATTAAAACAAATATCCTTCATCACTGGACTCCAAACATTAATTGTTTTTCTCTCATCAGATGCTGCCAAACTCGCTGAATTTCTCCAGCACTTTCTATTTTGTTAGCAAGACCACAATGTCGGCCTTGATTTGGAGTCAGAAGCTTATGGGTTCATGTTCCCCTAGAATGAATACATGAATACATGATTTAGACTGACACGACAATAACTAGCTAGATATTGAACTCAGCCTCCAAACTTAACATCACTCCCAAATATACTTTAACTACATCTTCAGTTACCAGTAGAAGTCATTTTCCTAACATGGAATTTCCTTTATTTGCCATCTCTAGTTCTATTGATGTACATTGTTACAAAGTTGTAGACAGTTTGAACTGTGCACTGCGTGTTTGTTT